TCAGTCCTGTGGGGTGTGGGTAGTCCCAAGGGGTTTCCTTCATGGTGGCAGTGGGTGCCTTGTAGATGTGGGGATCGATGCCCCCCCTTCCTGGGGTCTGTACTTCTGTCTGTGTGTCTGTCTGTGCATGTGAGGATCTTGCTGCCCATCCTGCCCCCACCCCACCTTGTGTGGGGGTCCCTCGGGGTGCGTGGCACAGGGCCCTCACCAATTCCCTCTCCTGTCTTTATTAGCCTCTGTACAATGGGGATGGTCATGCCAAATAAAATCGTGTTGAGATCCAGCGGTGTACCTGCGCCCAGGGCATGGTGGGGGGGTCATGCTGAGGGGCTCAATGAGGTGGGTCCATGGCCCCTCAGCGCAGCAGCCCCAGCCCGGCCAGGGCAGCACTCTGCCCGCAGACGAAGGCACCACTGAGCACGGAGAGGACACCCCAGGTGATGAGAGCTGCCCTGCGGGGACATGAGCAGGGGCTGGTGGGACCAAACAGACCCCCAGTAACATGCAACCCCCTGAAACCCATGTGTGGAGCCTTCTGAGGGGTCTCAGCCTCTTCTGCCACATTCCTCTGCATCACAGATGGCTGAAGACCCCAGCAGCCCCTCCAGCGCATCCCCTGTGCCCACTGCAACAACACACAACACTTGGTCAGAAGCACCATCATGAGACCATCCCTGGTTCTGCCTGCAGCCAGTGGCCCTGCAGAAGGGGCACAGACCACATTCACAGACCACAGACCCCCCCACGCATGCTCAGGCACAGCCACATTCACATCTACACACTCCCCACATGCCCCCACCCTATTGCCACATGTCCCCTACGCGGCTCCACCACCAGCCCTGCAACCTGTGGGTCTGCACCTCCCTGTCCCCCTCTTCCCAGGCACACAGCCCCTGACCAACACCAAGCCCCCAGGACGTAGCTCTCACCCCTAACCCTACTGCTGCTCCATCGTGGGATCATCGTCACTGTGCACCTTCCCGTACTGCCTCAGGCAGGCTGGGACTGTCCTCTCACTGTCCCCATCACCCCGGTTTGTGCTGTCCCCTCTCATGGTGATGGCACTCCCAGGGTAACACTCCGGTGGGTCTCCCTGATGGACCTCTCCAAGTCCTTGTTGCTCACCTGGGTGCCCCTGCTCACTGCCTGCTTTGGCCTCCCAGCGCTTTGGCATCCCTAGGGTCACCCTCCCTCCTGTCCAGACAGCCATGGGTCCTCCAGACAACCCTCCTGGCCAAGACACCAAGGTCTGTCCAGTGGGTGCTCCCTCCAGCTGCCATGGGGCACAGGACCCCACACACATCACCTCCATCAGACGTGCTCCCACAGGGGCAGAGACACACTTTGGCACATGCTTACCACAAAACTCACCAGCAACATGCCAGGTCCCCCTGACATGGGCTACTTCAGCCTTTGAGCACCATGGCCCTCTGACCCCCACCCAAGTCCCCACTGTGTGCTCCAGTGCCTCCAAACCTCACTGCAAGGGGTCTGGTAGACATCCCTGATCCCTGGTCACATCCCTGGGCACACCCCCAGTGCACAGGCACATTCCCAATTTATGGACACCTCCCCAGTGCCTGGACTCAACCCTGGCACCCAGGCACATCCTCTGAGTTAGAGCACATCCCTCCATACCCACCCTTCAGCCCCACCAGAAGCTCATGCTGTCAGTGCCTCCTGCCTTGGCCAGGGTGATCCCAGGGGCCCTGCTGGGGCCATGGATCATGGGAAGCTGCCCCCCTGCCCTTCCCCACCACTCCAAGTGTGCAGACACTCACTTTTTGCGTGGCCCAAGGGTGCGGGTCCCGGTCATGCACACCAGGCACAGCCCTGCCACCAACACAGAGACTCAGGTCCACCGCCTGGCACCCCTCACCCAGGCCCCACAGCAGTGTCCCCATGCATATGTCTCTGCACCCCAAAATGGGGCCAGGATGGACCACCCATCACCACCACAGCACCTCCACCCCTGCTCCAGCAATGCTCTTGGCACTGGCACCCTTCCTCTCCCCCCCAGTGCTCACTCTTGCCTGGGAAGATGAAGATGAAGAATGCGCTGATGCCCCCAATGAGCTCGATGACCTTCCCGATGTCTGGAACGAAGAGGGCGATGGCAAGCGTGGTGGCCATCCAGGTGACCGTCAGCACCACCCGGCTCCGCTGCTCCTGCGCCTCGGGCACCACCACGGCTCCGCGCTTGGGGGTCACCCACACATCCTGCACCACCGACCTGGGGGGGAACAGGGGGCTGATGGCAGCCAGTGGAGCTGCACTGGCCAGGGGACGCCAGGCTGGCCACCACTCCTTCACCTGCCCAGCAGCACCGCGATGGGGTAGATGGTGATGATGGAGACACCGAAGAGCAGGCGGGCGACAATGACAACTGGGTCATTCCCTGGGTAGGACATTAGGACGTCAGGTGCCACGGCCTCGCCGAAGGTCAGGTAGCCATAGACCCCTGCCAAAGGAGCAGTGGGGTGGATGGCCATGAGGAGGACAAAGGAGCCCCGAGGAGGATGAGGACAAGGGGAAGAAGGAGGGGGTGAAGGGCTCTGGTGCTAGGGTTACCCGTGAGGGAGTAGATGAGCAGGCAGATGAGCATGGAGAGCACGGAGACGGCGACCCAGTGGGAGAAGCTCTGGTTGCGCATGCTGCTGTAGATGGCCACGCAGGCCTCGTGGCACTGTCAAGCAAGGTGGGGGGGGGGTGCTGGGGCCCCATGCAGGGAAAACCACCACCCCCAGCACCTTCCCTCCCACCCAGCAGTGCCCTGTCCCTCTCTCACCCATCCCCAGGGGCTTCTGTCCTGCCCTGCAGGCACCTCTGCACAGAGGCTGGGTCCCCTTCCCTGCAAACCCCCCTGCAAGGAGTAGTGTCCCCATGGTCCAGGATGCTGCCAGCACTGCCCCAGCAGCAGGGGACAACGGTGCCAGGGTGACCCACCTGGAAGCCGAAGCAGATGGTGGGGATGACGCTGAAAATGGAGGCCCAGGAGGAGGCCCTGTGGCATGGAGGGGAAGAAGCACAGAGCGTGAAGCCCCTAGAGGCAGAGGGGACCTTGGTGGCATAAGCCATGAAGCCTTCATGCCACGGTAAGAACGTCTCACCTGATAATTTTGGGAGAAGGGGGGTATTGTTGGGGCGAAAGCTGGAGCTGGGGCTCCCACCCACCCACTGCCCTGCCAGCGCTGTCTCCAGCTCATCCCTCCATATCCCCCTACCCAGGGCCACCCCCTGCCCATGCTAATGCCATAGAGACCACAGTGGGAGGGATGTGGGGCTGACCTCCCTACCTGGAGGGCTGAGGGTGCTCAGGAGAGCCCAGGCTCTCTGTCTGCAGGTGGTATTTCAGGACGATGACCAGGGTGAGGTAACAGGCAGCCAGCGTGCCCAGGATGCTGCCAGGGCATGGGAGAGCGTCAGCACACAGACCCCTTGCAGCTGGGAGGTAGCAGGGTGTCCCATGGCCCTGCAGGGACTCAGGAGGCGGTGGCCTGGGGTTCAGGGTGCCATGGGGTGGCTACACAATGTGGGTAGCCCAGGTGGTACCTGGAGTACTTCTGGAAGCCGATCTCCTTGGGGACAGAGAGTGGGAAGATGACGAAGACACAGAGAGCTGAGAGAGTGAAGCGCTGGTCTGCATACCAGGGGGGTGACAGGGGGGCCCCACTCAGCGTCCCGTTGGGGTACAGGGAGTCACAAACTGTGGGGAGCAGCAGGGAGATCAGTTGTGCCCAAAGGGTGGCCCAAGGAGGTCGGGAGCATCACACCATGGCAGGGCCAGGGAGCTCCATGACCTCAGGCGTCCCAGGAAAACCCCAGGGCTGCTCCCAGCCCACACGGGATCACCTTCCCCTCACTCCCCAGCAAGCTACAGAGGGAAACAACTCACGTTTCTCCAGCTGGTCACCCACTACCCTGAGGAGAGCCACGGAGATCATGAAGAGGTTGAGGAGGAAGCAGACCTCGCAGAGCTTCCCCACTGCTGTCCCACACACTGCCCGGACCACCCCCTGGTAGGTGGGCTGGGCGCTAAGGGCTGCTGCATAGCCCAGCACCACCAGCCCACTCACCAGGAAGACCAGCGAGCCCTGCAGGGACAGGACCCGGCAAGAAGTCACCCCTGGACCCAGGGGGACCAGCAGGGCCATGGCCAGCAATCAGATGGCCATCTGGGTAACACAGGTCAGCAGATGGTTGGAGAACCAGCCCTAGGTGAAGCTTTAGGTTTAGATTTGGTGGTGTGGGACATGTAGGGTAGAATCATAGAATGGTTTGGGTT